CAGACAGAGCTCTGTGGCTGCAGGCAGATCCCAGCAGGCTCCGTGCCAGGAGCAGCGTGGCCAGGGAAAGGGCAGAGCTGTGCTGATCATCTCCCCACCTCCACCTTTGCCAAAGCATCTCCCCCTTTTTTTTCCTCACGTTTCAGGCAAGCAGGATCCATCCTGCTCTCAAGGAGACTGGTCCAAGTTTGTTTCCTTTTCCTTTTCGTGACAGGTTTTCGTGAGCCGGGATGGAGGGGGGGGGTTTAAAAAGCATTTAATTCACTAATGAATTGCTAACGATTGCAAAAAGGGGGGTTGAGGACGTGGGTTTGTCAGCCTCAATTAGAGGCTGAGGCTGGGTTTCTGTGAGCATGAGTGCTGGAGAGGGGTAGGTGCCCTTGGAAAGCTGCCATGGCAGCGGAGCCAAATTAGATCCTGCAGAAGCTGTAAGGGCAGGAACTGTCCCTGCTGCCTTTCCCCCTGCCTTGCCTTCTGCTTTTATGTGGGTTTTTGGGTTTTTTTTACCTTTTGGTGGCGGCAGAGCAGGTTGCAGGGGAGCAGCTCAGCATCCTTGGGCCGTTTCTGCTGGTCCAGCACCAGATCCCAACCCCAGATTAACATCTTTGGGAAGAAAGGAGAAGGATTCTCTGAAGAGGAGGAGAGTCTGTGTGGCTGCACAGTGCCAGGGGAGAGGAATCAAACCCAATTAGTGTCACTATCTCATTGACATTGTTTATATGGCTGTGGTCCGTGGGATTGCCCCATCACATGAGTTCCTGTCTCCTGGCTCTTCCCGGCATTCCAGTGGCTCCCAGTGCCATCATGGGCAGGAAATTCAGGTGTCAGATGTCTAACATGAGTTTGGGCAGCTCGGTGGGACCAAGGGCTTTGGATGTAAAGGCTTTGCCTGAGGTTGCAGCCCCGTTTTGGTGAGGAAGGGGCAAAGGGGAGCTCTTGCAGATGGACTCAGCATTGCTTTAACCCCAGGGCTTGCAGGGACTCCTGTGCCAAGGCAGGAGCAGGGATGGGGGCTGGTCTGTTGTGGGGGAGAAGCCATAGGGTCTGGAGGGAAGAAACTTGGGATCCTGCTCTGTTGGAAACCCTGGGGAAGAGTTCAGTGCCTTGGTTTGTGTCTTTCACTGCAAGGTGTGACATTTGATGGGTAAAACCACTCCCAGCTCTGGGGCTGGAGAGGAACAGGACAAGGGGGAATGGCTTCCCACTGCCAGAGGGCAGGGATAGATGGGATATTGAGAAGGAATTCTGGGCTGTGAGGGTGGGCAGGCCCTGGCACAGGTTGCCCAGAGAAGCTGTGGCTGCCCCTGGATCCCTGGAAGTGTCCAAGGCCAGGTTGGACGGGGCTTGGAGCAACCTGGGACAGTGGAGGGTGTCCCTGCCCGTGGCAGGGGGTGGCACTGGATGGGCTTTAAGGTCCTTTCCAACCCAAATCATCCTGGGATTTTAGAAGGTTTCGGTGATCAGAGAACAGGGGGAGAGCAAAAGTCTTGGCCCGTGCCAGGGGGATGTGTTGAACCCATTCCCGCGTGTTTGGGAAGCCAGAGAAGAGTGAACCATTCGTGGAATCACAGAATCTCCTGAGCTGGGAGAGACCCACAAGCATCATCGAGTCCAACCCCTGACCCTGCACAGGACACCCCAAAATCACAAGTGAATTGCACTCGTGCTGTGAAAGTGTGAGTGGGGAGGGGGGAGAGTTGTGTGTGTGCCGGGCAGCACATCCCAAACTTCTGGGGAACCATCCCGGTGCAAAGCAGCTTTCCCTTGTGATACAAGGGCAGTCAGTGCTTGTGGTTCTGGCTAGAAAACCACCTGCTAATGAATTTGCACTGATTAGGGTCTAATTAATCACTCAGTGATTGTGGATGTTGTGCCAGTTCACGAGGCCGGGGCGTGTGGAGGCTGAACCTCTGATCCCCCCCCCCTCCCATCCCCGTGGTGTGCTGAGCCCATCACCGACACTCAGAGTGGAATTTAAAAGGGCTTAAAAGATTTGTGTGTGGCTGTGCTTGGAAAGGAGCTGATACCATCTGAGCCCACGATTATTTATTCTCCTTTATCAAACAACGTGCACCATATGGGCCCCTTCCTGCGCCGCCGATGACTAAACGGTGGCATCTGGTGCTCCTTTATATCACAAGTGTAAAGCAAATGAGAAAAGATCCCTTCAGCCAGCTCTTTGCTATTGTCACAGGCACGCTCTGGGTGTTTTCATCCCGAGGTGCTTGCTTTGCTGACTCTCAGAACCGCCCTCGTTCGGAGCCAGGCGCGTTTTCTCGGGAGGCTGAGCGGCTGGGGAGTGGTTTCTTTTCGCTTTAGTGCCCCAGCTGGTCCCTGCAGATGGGATCCCACCTCACCTGCTGCATCCTTGCACCTGACAGGAGTGTTGGCTGCTCCTCAGGTGGGACCTGTTGAGCAGAGACGGGCACGTGTTGCTCCCAAACAGCTGAGGGGCTCTTGGTTGCTGTTGCTTCTCAAGGCAGTTTGAGCAGCAGCCTTGGATGGAGGCAGATTTTGGAAATGCCAGAGCTCACAGAATCACAGGATCATGGGAATAAGACCTCCAGGATCATCAGCCTTTGGCAGAATCGCTGACCATGCCCACTAAACCATAATACAAACTGCCACTTGATCTGCTGGGGCTGAACATCAACCACAGGGTTTTCTGTCTCATTGGCACTTGAGGAATGAGGGCCCATCCCTGGAAGTGTCCAAGGCCAGGTTGGAGCAACCTGGGCTAGTGGAAGGTGTCCCTGCCCATGGCAGGGGGTGGCACTGGATGATCCTGAAGGTCCCTTCCAACCCAGACCATTCCATGGTTCTATGCTCTATTAGGAGCTGAGAACCAGAACAGTGCCCAAAGGCACAGCAAGCAACTGGAAGTGCTGGAATCAGCAAACCACTCTGGACTCCTGGATGGCAACTGTTCAGGGCAGAATTGTTCCCTAGAGAAGGAATTACTTTGGCTGAGCTGGGAGCTTGTCCAGCCCCTCAGGGTGAGATCACCCTCAAGAAGCCTGGGATCTTCCCCAGACTCTCCTGTAGCTCCCAGGTGTTGTGCTGCTCCAAGGCAGAGTGTTCCCACACCCTGCTGTCCTCACCACAGGACATGTTCATCCCACCATCTCACCTTTCTCCTCCTGGCTGCAATTTAAGCCCATTCTGGTTGTTTTTTTTTTTTTTTTTAACACCTGGGGTGGTTCAGAAGTCAAAGCCGTGGGGAGCTTTACCAGCACCACGGGTGAACATCTCCTCTCACAGGTGCTTTGGAGACCTGGAGCTCTGCTCCCACTGGAGGTCTCAAGGGACAAAGCATGGGCTCCAACGGCTCCAACCATGATGGATTTGTCACAGGTCCATGCCTGCAGGATTCCTGGGGGATTGTTATTTATCCAGCAGGATCTGCAATGTGCCCCCCACTTCCCAGACCGTCTCTTCTCTCCTCCCTTTCCCACGTGTCCCCGGGAGAAACCAACCCGATCCTCGCCACAGGTCCCCGGGGGCTCGCAGTCCCATCAACATATGTTTACTTATTTATTTTAGGACGTGATTGATGTTGCTACATTTGTCGGAGGAATGTTTTTGTTCTGCCAACGGGTGCAAGTTGCCAGCACAAAACGTTCTGTGTTTGGAGCAAAGCACAGCAAATTGGCCGCTGCTTTCAAACAAGAGGGAGGGGTGGGGGATGCTATTTTCTGCTCTCCAGCAAGAGGAGTGCAGAGCACTGAGCAAAGAGAAAGAGAAACAGGGGCTGCTATCAGGCTGCAGACAGGAGAGGAACGGGGTAGATTGGCCTGAGAGTGACTTGTTTTTCCACCTGCAGGTTCTGGGCTCTTAGTGAAGGTTTCTGGGGGGATTTTGTGGTTTTAAATAAAGCAGTAAGAGCAGAGGGTTTGCGTTGCACTGGCACAGAGCACAGCAACTTCTGAGGTGGTGGGCAAATGAGGGAGAGGAGGACACGTACCTCATCCTCCTGGGGTGGGCCAGGAGAGTGGATACTGTGGATATGGGTCCACAGGGAGAGAGTGGGTGTTGCTTCGTCCTCCTCCTTCAAAAAACACCGTAAAACTGCGCTCTGGGGCTCCCCTGAGGCAAGAGGAGGGAGTTGCTGTGCCCACTGCTGGTCCTGTAGTGGGTTGGCTTTGGTTGGATGTCAGACACCCACCTAAACCACACTGTCACTGGCCTTGCCAGCTGGACAGGGGAGAGAAAATACAGGGAAAGGTTCCTGAGTTGAGGTAACGACAGGGAGAGATCACTCAGCAATTGCTGTCATCAAGCAGACTCAGCTTGGGGATAGTAATTCAATTTATTGCCAACAGAATCAGAGCAGCATAATGAGGACTAAAATAAATATTAAAAACACCTTTCCCCACCCCTCCCTCCCTCCCTGGCTCTGCCTCCACCGTGCCAGCAGCACAGAGAGACGGGAATGGGGGACACGGTCAGTTCATCCCACGTTGTTCGGCCACTGCTCAGGGAGAGGAGTCGGAGTCCTTTCCCTGCTCCAGGACAGGCTTCCCACGGCTCACAGCCTCCTTCAGGCCTCCACCTGTTCCAGCGTGGGCTCCTCCATGGGCTGCAGGTGGATCTCTGCACCTCATGGTCCTCCCTGGGCTGCAGGGGCACAGCTGCCTCAGCAGGGTCTTCACTCTGGGCTGCAGGGGAATCTCAGCTGCAGAGCCTGGAGCACCTCCTGCCCCTGCTTCTCCTCTGCCCTTGGTGTCTTCAGAGCTGTTCCTCTCATGTATTCTCCGTGTTCTCTGGCTGCAATCACATCTCTGCAATAACTTTTGTTTTCCTTCCTGAGCGTGTTATCCCAGAGGCATTGCCCCCATTTCAGATGGGCTCATCCTCGGAGCCGGCTGGCATCAGATCAGTCGGACGTGGGGGAAGCTTCCAGCAGCTTCTCACAGAAGCCACCCCTGTAGCTCCTCCGGCCCCACCAGCCCAGCCCAGGTCCCCGGTGCCCCCTGACACCCCTCCTCCCTGTCTTGCAGCTGACGTACCTGCCTCCGCCGTGGGGTGAATGTCGCTCGTCGGAAATGGGCTTAGACTTCTTTCCCGTTTACAGCATCACGGCCTGCAGGATCGACTGCGAGACCCGCTACATCGTGGAGAACTGCAACTGCAAAATGGTCCACATGCCAGGTGGGTGGGGGCTGGGGCTGGGGCTGGCACACACCCTCCTCTCCACAGCTGGGGCATTAAGGGTCAGGCAGGACTCGGTGGGTTTGATCCCTGTAGGGACCATTCGCTCCAGAGCTGGGCTCGGTGATCCTTGTAGGTCCCTTCCAGCTCAGAATATTCTGTGATTCAGCAGGAGCTCGGGTTAAAGGAGGTGGGAGTACCTTTCCCTAAGGAGAGATGGGTGCCAGTAGCCTTGTTGAAACGTCCTGACAAGGGGGGCAAGGCGTGGCAGAGGGACTCGGGTTTGATTTCCTCTGACAGAATCATTAAGGTTGGAAAAGGCCTCCAAGATCATCAAGTCTGACCTTATTGACAGGGTCCTGGGATATTCTGAGCTGGAAGGGACTCCCAGGGATCATGGAGTCCAACTCTTGAGTGAATGGCCCACAGAGGGGATTGAACCCCTGACCTTGGTGTTATCAGCACCAAGTTTTTATTAATTATTTTACTAATTATTTAACCCCAGTTGACACCCCCAGGTGGTGCTTCCAGCAGCCCCCTCCTCGTTTCGCAATGCCAGGCAGAGGTGGGGACCAGCCAGGGCCACTTTGGCTAAAGGGGGGCAGGTCCCTGTGGTCCCCAGGGAGAGCCTGGTGGTCCCCATGTGATGGACATGTCCTTTCCCTGCAGGGGATGCTCCCTTCTGCACCCCGGAGCAGTACAAGGAGTGCGCGGAGCCCGCGCTCGGTGAGTACCACCAGGGGTTCCTGCTGCCACAGCTGCCCCCAGCTGGAGGCACTTCCAGCATCCTGGATCCTCCTGGCTGGCAGGGCCGGGGTGGAGGGGGGGGATGGAATTTGGAGCAGCTGCAACCCAGAGATGGGTTTTGATGAGACTCAGCTTTTTGGGAAGGTCTGGATGCAACCTGGGATAAAGTTACTCCTGGTTCTGCCTGGGGCACGGGGCTCTGTCAGCACAGAAACCCTTGGGGTCACGGGCACCCCAGATGCTGGTGTAGCCTCCAGCAAAAGGCCTCTCTCCAAGGTGGTGAGAAGTGGGATGAACTGGGACAGAAATGCCCAGGAGTGACCCCTTGGCTCCTCTCTGGGGGGCAGAACCTCTGCTCCCACATCTGTCCCCGACTCCACGAGATGTAACCCTGTGAACCTCCTCCAGGTTTGCTTGCTGAAAAGGACAGCAACTACTGCATCTGCAGGACACCCTGCAACCTGACCAGGTACAACAAAGAGCTTTCCATGGTCAAGATCCCCAGCAAGACCTCGGCCAAGTACCTGGAGAAGAAGTTCAATAAGTCGGAAAAATACATCTCGTGAGTGCTGCCCCAAACTGATCTCACTCTGGGCTGAGAACTTGGACTTTTTCCAGTCCTGGGCACATTATTGCCCTGTGTAGGCAGTGAGAGTTATTCCATGTCATTCCATATCCTTTGGATTCTTGTTATTATCACGGAATCAAAGAATCCTGGATTGGTTTGGGTTGGGAGGGACTTTAAAGCCCACCCAGGGTCACCCACCCTGCCATGGGCAGGGACACCTTCCACCAGCCCAGGTTGCTCCAAGCCCCGTCCAACCTTGGCCTTGGACACTTCCAGGGATCCAGGGGCAGCCACAGCTTCTCTGGGCAACCTGTGCCAGGGCCTGCCCACCCTCCCAGGGAGGAATTATCATTAAAGTAAAGAGTTACCAGCAAAGTGAGCTCCAGAGCTCAGATCCTGAGATATCTTGGGGAAACATTTTCCAGCTCTCCTAAGGCTGCCAGAGCCTTGATGGTGCCCCTTGGGCTTGCTCTGCATGAGGTCCAGGTGCTGGGGGTTGCTGAGAACCCCAGACAGAGGAACAATCAGGACAGGGAGAGGAATAAAGCCCTAAAGTCCCGGGTTTTTTTCCCCTTATCCCAAAGCACTGGTGGCTGCTGGGCTGATGCTGTTTTCCTCTTTCCACAGAGAGAATATCCTTGTGCTGGACATATTTTTTGAAGCACTCAACTATGAGACAATTGAGCAGAAGAAAGCCTATGAAGTGGCAGCCTTACTTGGTAATTTGGGGGTCAGTCAGGGGGCAGTTTGGAGGCTGTGGGAGTCTGTGTGTGTGTGTGGGACAGACGGATGCCCTGAGTGTGTGAGCAGCTCCTGGAAAATCCACCAAGGTCTCAACAACTTCCTGGCCAACACACTCTCAACCCCATTTCTTACTTCCCTTGCACCACCAGGAGTGTCCCAGGGACCACATCCAGTCTGCATGTCCATGAGGAGCTGCTCCATCTTCATCCCTGCTTGCTCCCAGCACCCCATTTTTTTGGGAATCCCGGGCTGAGCAGGTGTTGGGTGCTCTCTGTGCTGCCCCCCACGCTGGAAGGGGCAGTGTGTGGAGAAGGGCAGCTCAAAACCACCTACCCATCACCTCTTCCCTGCTCCAAATCCATCCTCCTTCCCAGCCAGACCCCTCTTTGCCATTGCTTGATGGAGGAGGTGGAGGAGACGTTGGGTTGTTCGGCCTCAAACTGAGGCTTTGTGGGGGCAGAAAAAAATGGTTTGGTGGCCAGCAACGTCCTTCCTGGGGTGCTGGTCGTGGCATTGGAGCTGCTGGGCTTTCTGGGGGTGCATTTCCCCACTATTTGGGGGTGGCATCACCACAGATTTGGGATGAAAGGAGGTGGGAATATCTTACCATAAGGAAAGAAGGATGCTGATTGCCTTTCTGGAACTGGGGCAAGGCATGGAAGGGAGACATGGGCATGATTTCCCCTTGGAGAATCATTAAGGTTGGGCAAGACCTCCAAGATCATCCAGCCCAACCATCTTTAGCCCCAGCTGACACCCCTGGGTGGTGTTTCCCTGGGTGGTGTTTCCAGGAGCCCCCTCCTCGTTTGGCAAGGAAAGGCCCAGCTGGGGTTCACTTACCTAAAGAGAGGTTCCTTGTGGTCTGTGGTCACAGGCTCTAGGAATGTTGTTGTCTCTCCTTAGGTGACATTGGAGGCCAGATGGGGCTGTTTATCGGTGCTAGCATCCTCACCATCCTAGAGCTCTTCGATTATATATACGAGGTAAGGCCCTTCATCTTGTCACCTGATTCCTTGGAAGGGTCTGGGTGTGCCAGGCTGGAGCCTCCGTGCCTGCCCCACGTGAATCGTCCATTTTAATTAATGACAGTGTATAATTAAGGCTCCACAGCAGTGGGTTGTGAGTGCGAAGTGTGGGGAGGGAGGTTCCTGCATCAGCAGGGGCTCTCCGTGGAGGAGCTGCCACTGAGCCATGGCATGGCATGGCACAGCCAGGTTGCCTTGGCACCTCTGCTAATGAGGATTGCTTCTCTTTTGGGCTAATTAAGCACCTGCATGAGCAGGGAGGTTGGGCCAGGGATCACCCACTGTGGTCCCTTCCCCCGTCTCCATCGTCTCCCTGCAAAAGGCTTCATGTCGGGGGGTCAGGCTCATGATTTCTGCTTACAAAAGGGGGAAACTGAGGCAGGAAGAGAGGCACCATCTGGGTTTTAGCTGCTGAGGGACACCTGCTTTGCATCAGGATGACCCCAGAGGCCCAAATATGCTGTTTACAGCAGGAAAGAATGAGTTTATCGTGGAGTCGTGGAATGGGTTGGGTTGGAAGGGACTTTAAAGATCATCCAGTGCCACCCCCTGCCATGGGCAGGGACACCTTCCACCAGCCCTGTTTGCTCCAAACTGGCCTTGGACACTTCCAGGGATCCAGGGGCAGCCACAGCTTCTCTGGGCAACCTGTGCCAGGGCCTCCCATGGAAGGATTTCCTCCCCATATCCCATCTCCAAACTCTGTTTCTGTTTAAAGCCACACAAGGAGGATGCAAACACCTCTGGAGAAAAAAAAAAGAGTTCCCAGCACATTTGGTACATCCTTTGTCCTTGTCCCTGGGAAAGTTTTTTCCCCCTCAGTCAGCTCATCTTCTTGTTCCCTGGGAGTTTCAGAGCAAGAGATTTGGGGTCTTGAACCCAAATATCCAAATCTCAGACCTGCCTAGTCCAGCTCTGTCCTTGTCCTGTCTCATGATGGGAAGAGGGATTTTTAATCCCAGGGGATATTGCAGCTGTGAGCTCCCTGAGACATCTTGGAAAAACCCCTTAATGTTATTAAGTTGGGATTCTGACTCGATTTTTTAAGACAGTCCCTCCCCATCCCAGTCCCTTGTGGGCAGCTCTCAGCACTTGGTGGCATTATTCTGCACTAAAATATATTGGAAATTACAAGCATAAAGCTCATAATGGCAAACAAAAACCTGTGCCTCAATTTGCAGCTCAGCTGAATGCACAAATATTTCATTAAAATCCCCTATTCCCAGCTTTCTCGGGGCTTCTTTTTCATAACAAGCTAATAAGAAACCTCGCAAAGTTTAGATTTTTCTTCTCTATTTCACTGCTTTATTTGACATCTGCTTATAAACTTGTCAAATAGTTTCCCTTTGCTGTTTTGTTTTGGGGTTTTTTGCCTCTTGTTGTTCTTGTTTTTGGGCAAACACGGCCTAAGACTCATCCTGGCCCCTGGGAGATCCACCTGGGGGATGCCACCAGCAGGTTCACCTGGCTGTTCCCTCCACGGGGCATCTTCATGGGCACCTGTCACAGGTGTTTCACCCACACCAGACAGGGAGAAAAGCAATAAAATGCCTTAAAAATGCCTGTTTCACACAGTTGATCTGCTCAGGGCTTCCCAAAGAAGGGGGTTCAGCACATGAAAAACCATCTTCAGCCATTTGGAAATTTCCAGCAAACAGCTAGCACTGTTATTTTTTCTGGTGGATTAGCCAAAGATGGGTGAAATATTCACCCCAGAGATGCTTTTTTTTTTTTTTTTGTATCATTCACTTGGCAAAATCCTCCTCGTGGTGCTGCCCCAGGGCAGAGCTGTGTTCCTGGGCTCCTGGGGGTCCTGAATTCCCACCAGCAGCCCTGAATACTAACCAGCATCCACCTCCCTTCCTTAGGAGCTGACCCAATTTTTCATGTTTTTAGCTTGCTTCTTGGTTGTTTTTTTGGTTTGGTTTTTTTTTTTTTTCTCTTTTTTCCCCAGTGGAATTTTCCAGAAAAACACTCACTTTTCAACCTTTCTGGGATTTCCCTTGAAATCTCATTCTCAGCAGCAGCAGCTGCCAGGGAGATAAAGTGGCTGTGAAGGGAAAAGGAGCTCACGGAGCTGGGAGCTTTCAACAAAGCCCCAAATGGATTTCCAAAATGGAGTTTGGGGGTTTTTCTGGTTTTTTTTTTTTTTTCCATGTGAAGAACTCAGTTTTGACACGTGGGGTGGCTTTAACATGGAATCTCAGACTGGTTTGGGTTGGAAGGGACCTTAAGAATCATCCAGTTCCACCCCCTGCCATGGGCAGGGACACCTTCCACCAGCCCAGGTTGCTCCAAGCCCCGTCCAGCCTGGCCTTGGACACTTCCAGGGATCCAGGGGCAGCCACAGCTTCTCTGGGCAACCTGTGCCAGGGCCTGCCCACCCTCACAGGAAGGAATTTCTTCTCAGTATCCCATCTATCCCTGCCCTCTGGCAGTGGGAAGCCATTCCCTGTGTCCTGTCCCTCCATCCCTTGTCCCCAGTCCCTCTCCAGCTCTCCTGGAGCCCCTTTAGATCCTGCAAGGGGCTCTCAGGTCTCCCTGGAGCCTTCCCTTCTCCAGGTGAACCCCCCCAGCTCTCCCATCCTGGCTCCAGAGCAGAGGGGCTGCAGCCCTTGGAGCATCTCCCTGTCTCCTTCTCCATATCCTTTGAAAGTTCATCCCCCCAACCCATCCCGTTCCCTTCGGAGCCGTCGGAGACGAGGACAGCGCGGATCTCTCTCCTGTCCTTCCCCCCGTAACCCACCCCCTCCCTCTTTTTGGCAGCTGATCAAGGAGAAATTATTAGACCTACTTGGCAAGGAGGAAGAGGAAGGGAGCCATGACGAGAACGTGGTAAGGAGCCCCCCTGGGAGGCAAGAGGAGCTGCCCCCGCGCTCGGCTCTGCGCGGACGCCCGAGTCGTTTCCCGGAGGATTGACGGCCGTGGGCTCAGCCTGAGGAAGGAGCTGGCGGCTTGGGGAGGGGCAAGGGAGCATCCAGCGAGCCCCCCACCCGGGGATAACCCTGTTATCCATCTGCTGTCCCCATCTGCAGAGCACTTGTGATCCCATGCCCAACCATTCGGAAACCATCAGCCACACTGTGAACGTGCCGCTCCAGGCCACGCTGGGAACGCTGGAGGAGATCGCCTGCTGACACTCGACTGCTCCCACCCCAGGGGCCAACAACACCCAAGGAAGGAAAACTGCACAGGGAAGCAGGGACCCAGCTCAGGTTTGCAACAGGGGAAAAAAATAAAAAAATAAATTAAAAAAAAAATATATATATATTAAAAAAAGGAAAAAAAAAAAAAAAGGAAGAAATCGCTATGCATTAAAATAATATAAATATATATATTATATATATACTCTGCCAAAACCAAGCGAGAGAGGCGCCTTGGACTTGACTTGTGTTGTCCTTTTTCCTGTGGGGAGGGGTTTTGTCTTCAAGATGTGAAGGCAGCAGCTCATTTTTTGAACTGTGCAAAGCAGAGACCACCACCACCACCACCACCACCAAAACCCCAAAAGCGAAGCCCCGCCATCCCACAAACTGCCAAATGTACAAAGCACTTGCACGCCAGGTCTTTTTATGGCAGCATATTCCTATCTGTCTTTATAAGCTCTGTTCCTCTTTACAGTCTCTGATTTTCACTACCAGAAGGAAATGGCCCAGCCATCCCCTGAAATCACCATTACTAACGTCGTAGGCTGAAAATTAGAATAAAGAAACAAAAAGTCGCAGCTCTCGGAATTCTTCTTACGTTCTTGTCCTTCGTGTGAGTCTGTGATGAATCTTAAGCTAAGCCAGGCCCTCCCAAGGCCAGGCCACCACCGTCACCCCAAGGTGAGCATCCCTGGAGAGGGGCCGGAGCGGGGGGCTCCCGGTGGATCTGCTGTGTCCTGCTCCTCCATCTGCAGTGTCTGGATAGTTTGTGTGTGGTGGGTGGGCACAGGGCAGGGGGGAGGGTGGGGCTTTATTTTAGTTTCTTTTAAATTCTTTTTTTATATTTTTTTTTTTAATTTTTTTTTAAATTATTATTATTATTTTTCCCGTTAATGGATTCTGTGCTTTCTCCTCGTTCTCATGACTGATATTAAAGCTGGTCTTGTGGAAATGGCCAGGCTGTGTCATCTCTGCCTTGCCCTCCCCCACCCACCATTCCTCACCCCTTTTCCCCTCCCACCTCATCCTCACCCAGCTTTTGGTGGGGTGGGTGTGATGCCACGGCCACGCTCAGCCTCTGGTGCTCAGCTGGCTCCCTGTCTGCTCTGGGGGTGGTGGGACCTCTGTGGTCATGGTGGGACCTCTGTGGTCATGGTGGGATCTCTGGGGCATGGTGGGATCTCTAGGGCATGGTGGGATCTCCATGGTCAACACTTCATCCGATCTGGGCATTGTGGTCGTCTCTTGGACTCTCATTTATGTAACAACAACCAGGAATTTAAATGCAACTGGGCCAAAATGCTGCTGCTTTTCCCCCTGGTAAAGAGAGCAGGCAGTTTTTCCTGGAGCTCCAAACCCCCTGGTGGGTTTGTGACCTGGAGGAGCGGGAGGAGGATGTGATGTGTGGGTGTTTGCACCTCTGCCACCTCTGCTCATGGCTGGGTGCTGCTGAATGGCCAGTGATTGTCACCCAGGTGGTGGCCACAGCTGGGGGAGTCACAGCTGGACTGTGAAAAGCTGGTTTGGGGGAGCTGATGGAATTCCAGACCTTGGGAAGGGCTCTAAACCAACCGTGGGAGTGGGGCCAGCCTGGATTTACCTGCTGGCAGTGCTGCAGGCGGGAGGTGTGTTGGGGCCTGCAGGTGGCTGAGGGATTGAAGACATCTCTTAACTCTGGGGAAGGCACAAATCCATCCTCCAAACTTGTCTCAACTGCCCACATTCATGCACAAAAGCACTTTCCTTTGGGACAAATCCTCCCGCTGCCTGGAGCACGATGCAAAAGGAGAGGGAGTGGTGATTGGAGTCACCTCGGCTCTCAGACAGACTCTCACACAGCTGCTGATTGAAGAGCCTCTTCCCTCTGGCTTCCTGCCCTCTCCTGCCTGAAGAGCCTCCATTTGGGAAGCAGAGGCGACGGGGAGGGGGAGGGAGAGGGGCTGGAGGAGTCAAAACACAACGTCTCGTTCCGGTGGTCGGTGCAACACAGCCCAAATCTGAGAGCCTCAAGCTGTGCCAGGGCAGGGCACGTCCCTGGGGGACATCCCAGTGCCCAAAGCTCCCTTCAGGCAGCAGCACTTGGGAGGATTTCTGGAACATCTCAAAGGGTTCAAGCCAAGGGCTGAAGGACGGACACGAGGCTTGGAGAGCTGCCCGCTGGTGCCATGAGAGTTCAGCTCATTTAGTCAAACAAAGGGAAGGTGAAGAGGTGGCTCCATCAGTCTATAAATTTCTCTGTGGAGAGAGGTTTCTAATAAAGGGTTCTTTTAATCTGGCAGACAAAGCCAGAATGGGGAGGGGAGGGGGTCAGGACAAAGGGAAGCTGAAAGCATTCAGATGAAGGAGCCTGCCTGGGGTGGGGATGGTGCCTCAGCTCTGAAGTCCTTAAATCCAGATGGGACATTCTCTTCCTAGAGATGTGGGGCCCTGGCACAGGTTGCCCAGAGAAGCTGTGGCTGCCCCTGGATCCCTGGAAGTGCCCAAGGCCAGGTTGGAGCAACCTGGGCTGGTGGAAGGTGTCCCTGCCCATGGCAGGAGGTGGGACTGGATGATCTTTAAATTCCCTTCCAACCCAAACCAGTCTGGGATTCCCTGTGCTCCCAGAGCTGTCCCCATCCCTGCAGCACCCTCTGGACTGGCTCCTGGGGAGGATCTTGCAGATCAGGAGTAAAGAGCTCAAAGCTTCACCCTTGAGCCTGTTGGTGCCTGAGTTGAGGTGAACCCAGAGCAAGCTGGACTTGTACCCAATTCTCCCCCTGTTAGATGTCCACAAGCCTTTTTCTTCCCAAGGGGCTCACAACAAGAGCTTAGACAGCTCTTTGCACCAAAGTCACTCCTCCACTCTGGCTGTTTCTCTGTCTGATGTGTTTGTCAGGCTCAGAGGGGTGGTTGAAAAACAGAAAGTCCATATTTCAATCCCTTACCAGACAGAAAGGGGTGTGATCTCCACGTCTGGCAGGGAATGAGTAATTGCCACGG